ATTTACCTGCGTTTCAGGGCGGACGACACTTGCCGTGAAATAAACCGTGTGCCCATCGTTGGTCTATAATTTTCAATTTTAGAAATCCAGAGAAAACACCAATAACCTCCCGACATTATGCATTTTTCCCATTTCGGCAGTGATGCAAAAACGAATAAAAAAAAGTAATTTAAGAAATACTGCAGCTACAAAACAACCTTATTCGAAAAGAAAATAATTTTAAGAAATACAGTGGCTGTAAAATGGTCTTGAGTGTAAAAATTTTTAGAAAAAAAAAATGGTATGCGCTACTAAGTGATGCCTAACCTTTCTCTATCTGTTTTCTTTAAAAATTCCAAGAAGATTGGCCCAATAACAACATGCACGAAATTAATTCCGGAATTTGAAGAATGGAAAAACAACTCCAAGCAAAACGAAGAAGCCAAGCCATACGCATAAAAGTGAAGTTAAGTTTTTACGTTTTAATACATTATACAGTGGTACTGGAACAAAAACAGCCCCTCTCGCGAATTGTTTTAACGACCCAGAAAATAAAGAAGTGGAAAAAGTGCGATGAGCATATGCGATAAAACATCAAAACATACCGAAATGAAGCCATACTGGCCTTGGTATTCATCCACCTTGAAAAATGTCCCAATACCTTCTGACATCACAGCTTTTGATTCAAATTTAACACTTTTTGCCAACGCTTTAAATCGTACACCAAAATTACAATGCGGTGGTTCCTGTAAAAAAAAAAAGCAATGCATGCAGGCATAAATGATCGGTTGGAAAAATTAAGAAAATATAATAATTCTATGTTGTGCGCTGGCTTAAGCAAACACCTGAGCAACTGTATGTCATCGACATTCATTGTCACATCATCGGTGCAGCTGGCAACTTCTCCATTCAGTTAATTGTTACGCTTTCCGAGTCCAAGTGGTAACGTATAGGCGTGTGTGCTTATGTGTGTGTGTATGCATGTATTTATGTGTGTATATGTGCGTACTGATTAAAAAAAAAAAACAAAATGTGTGAAGAAATTTTTAAAATAACAACTTACAGCTTCATATGGTTTAGCTTTGAAGGTGACCCAATCCTGCAGATCGTAATTATTTGCAAGCCAAGAATCTCTGAATGCGACAATTTTGCCATCCAATCCACCTTTTGACAAATGAATGAATTCATCGCCCACGTAGACCACACGTGCACGACCCGTTACTATATTACTCATAACAGTATCAGCAGCAGTGGTGGCCAGAAGCGGATCTGGATAAAATAAAAACAGCGTGAATTACGTTTGACTAATGCGAAACATTAGCGTATTGTACAGTTAAAGTGACGAAAAACGAATCCTTCTACAACCCCTCCCACCTCCCCCTTCTTCACTTTTACTTCTCTCGAGTCAGCGATTTTCGCGCCAAAATTTCCATGTGCCCGCACGTGGGCCCCGGGGGTTCTTAAACGCCTGATTTTGCTCGTCATGAGTAGGGAACATTCCCTTAAAGTTTCAGCTTTCTAGCTTTTCCCGTTCCCGGGTTAGTAATATTCGCGCCTTTTAGCCTCTACCTTTTCTCCAGCAGAACCAACAGCACCCTTCTACCTCTTCCTTCACACTCATACCTTAATTTCCCAATTTAATGCGTGCATTCGTGTGTTGAATCTGCTGAAAAGTAAGCCTCACAAGCTAAGCACTGCACCTCAGCTGTTAACCTTGTTACAATGTGTACGGCATTTTAAATCAT